AAACAGACCAAGGGAATTGAGTTGAAGACCCTATACTCTTGGGCATATGGTCAAAGGATGCTCACTCCTGCTACAAGGACATGTGCTCAAATATGTCCATCTTCCTATTGACTTACTGTGCTGAAGAATTTACCTGACTCACCCCAGCCTTAGTTTTCATGTCTTCAATGGGAATTAAAAGATCTCTCAAAGGAAGAAATGAAGTGTCTGAACTTCTCTCCATGAAAAGACAGATACTTTTAAAGTAAGGGGGTTGATGGTGCCTATCTTCTTTCAGATCCAACCCTCCCCCATACTTCCTAATCATTGTTGTTAAAGAAGACACCGGCAAGTGCAATCATTAATACTGATCAACAACTTGACAAGAGCTAGAGTCGCCCAGAAGACAAAGCTCTGGGCATGTCTGTGTTATCTGAGGTGGGAAGACCAGCCCTAACTGTAGATGGAACCATCCCATGGGGTGGGGTCTGGCCTGAATTAAAAGGTGAATGTAGGACTGGAGAGATGGGGTACAGATTAAGAGCGCATACTGCTCTTGCTCTGCAGAGGACCAGAGTTTGGCTCCCATAGCTCATGTCAAGCACTCGTAACCACCTCTAGGGGTTCCAATGTCCTCTCTGGCCTCCTCCTATGCCGCAGTGGTGCACTCGCAAAGTAAAATACAATTTTTTTAAAGGAGAAAGTGAGTTAAATGTCACCACTCATGTCTCTCTTCTTCCCGACTAGACACAATGACACCAGCTTCCTCCTGTGTGCTCCTGCCACCAGGCCCTCCACTCTGAGATCGACTATAAATACCATATAAACTTCCTTCCTTAAACTGCGATTGCCAGATGTTTTGTTGCAGCTATGAGAAAAGTAACTAATGCACCAGAGAAAGGGTGAGATCAGGGTACTAGGGGGAATGGCTGCATGTCTGAGCCCAGGAACAGTGTTACAGATTGTTCTGATATGCAAAAACCATACTGCAAGGTCTTTGCATTTTCTTAACCACCAGCTGCCTTCCTCATCCCTGCTACTATTTTAGTATTAAAACAAACTTTGTATCCACATTTGACAGGCAAGTAGCTTGAGTTGCAAGCAGAGGGAACAAGACAGCGGAGCTAGGAGTAAATCATGAGAAAGTCCTTGTCCATTTTGAGCCGTCAGCTTTTTGTAGCCGGAGTTGTGGTCAGTGATGTTGAAACTGATCACATCCAAAGCAAAAAAGACTTAGTTCTTGTCAGTCCAGGAGCCTGTCTCCATGGGGACAGCAAATTGTCCTGGGGAAGGGGCCAAAATGCCCTTAGCTTTTTTTCTGTGCTGGCATAGCATGAGTGATCAACATTAGCGTATCCATTAGGAGACCTAGGTACCACTGTTGTCTGACCGTCAGAGCTTCCTGAGTACTGCAGTTGCTTGGATACCAGCACTGCCTCAGAACCAATTCTGGCTTTATCTTTAATCTAGCCTTGTCATGAGCCTTCAGAAAGACAACAGGAGCCATGATATTGCCATCCTCAGTTTTTAACCTCACGTTTACTCCTCTCTTTTTCCTTCTTTCTTTTCTTTTTTTTTCTTTCACCTCCCCTTTCTTCTTCACTTTCTTCTAGAATTCTTTAATGAACTGCTATTCTAGACTCCAGGGTCAACATTAAAATGGGTAAGGCTTGTATTTTATCATTTCCCTGTATGAGGTTTGTATTACAATCCAGGAGAAAATTGGAAAAACAACATCACCTACACATAAGCAAAATCATTCAAAGGGTACTAAATGTTAGGGAACAGAAACCAAATATGAAATACAATGGGAAGAAACCTGGCTTAAGCATGAGGGCAAAAAAGTGAAGAAATCTTTAAGCTGAGATTTGAAATATGGCAAAGAGCCAAGGTCTATTTTGCAGGCAGATGTTGAAGTGCTGCTGTGCTCGCTCCGGGGAGGATGTGAGTGGGAGAGCTGAGACGATGCCACAGTTGGGACCTGTCTGGGACATGGGAGTACACGGGAGTAGCCAGTTCCATCTTAGACACGATAGGTCCTTGAAGAAAGGATCCAGTTACCTTGGGAGGCTCTGATGTCAGCAGAGGGCATGTGTGTAAAGAGCTTGTATAAAGTTCTATGTATGATCTTAATGAATTAGCCATTAACTGTTCTCTCTCTGGGTCCCACTTTCTCAGTTCTTAGTGTTAATGATTGGATTAGATGCATCTCTGCTTGCCTACACCTTGACAACCCATGATCTTGGATTTTTTTTTTGACAGGGTCTCATACAGCCCAGGTGACTTGAACTCATTATATAGCCAAAGATAAGCTTTAATTGGTATTCTTCCTGTTGCCACCTCCTGAGGGTGAGGACTACAGGCATGGGCCATCACTCCCGATGACACGCCATGATTCTAACAGGCTTATTTGTTACGCTCTCTACAGTTAGGTTAATATATTTGTTTTGGAAATCTCTTCCTCCCCTTAACAAGCCAGTGACTTCCTTTTACATACACGCTACTTCCTGTAAGGGGTGTTAATGGTGCTTTTGATGTCTTCACATGGAAACCTTTCTTGAGCTCTGCCAGAATTGGAGGAGCCCTCCCTAGAGTTCTAAACCCAAAACTTGGGTTCCGGCAGGTCTCTTTGAAGTATCTCCAGGTTCCTGGGCTCTTGCTCTATTCCCACTCGTGGAGATAGCAGCTCACTGGTTTCTATGTTAGCTACCCAGTGTAATCATCTAAGCATCTTTAAGATCCCTGGTCCTGGCTCTCATCCCTAGCCTTTCCGTTTAATTAGAATGTGAGCTGGGCCTTGGGCACTCGGAAAGCTCCCCGGATGATTGTAATGTGCAGCAAGTTTGAGAACCACCATGCTAGGGAATAATTAAGATGCGGGTAGGCAATTACGGTGTGTGCTGAGAAATGTCAAGCCAACAGAGGAAGAACTGAAAGTCACTTTTCTCCCAGAATTGTAGACATTTCCTAAGCCCTGGAGGATCAGAGGGCAGGAATAGGCAGGGCAGGGCAGGGCAGGCCAGGGAAGTTGGTGTTGTCTTAAATCACTTCTCCAGTTGCTATGAGAAAATGTCTTGAGAAAAGCCACTTTAAAAAAGGAAGGGTTTATTTTAGTTCACAGTTCCAGGGAAATCCATCACGGCAGGGGTCACTGCTGTAGAAGTGTCAAGTAGCTGGCCTCATTACATCCGAGAGAAAGGAATTAAAGCTTGGGCTCAGCTCACTTTTCTATTTTTATACGGTCTGAAATCTTAAACTAGGGAATGATGCTTACCCACAGTGGGCAGTTCTTCCCACTTGATTAACCTAAACAAGATAATTACGATCATGACCAGAGGCTGACATGACCCAGATAATCCCTCTGTGTTCAGAGGCTCATCTCTTAGGGGATTCTGGATCCTATCAAGTTGACAGTTAACAACAGGAGTCACAGATGCTTGAGGGAAGGACACAGCTAACGGTCTTGTCTGGTAACAAGTGTGCTCTACCTCTCTAGCATTCTCTCCATTTTCTCTTAGTCTCCCTTAGCAGATGGTAGAATATGTTCTTGTTTATTTTAAATCATCTTGTTATATTAGCTAACCGACACTCACAACACATTCTGCTGCTTCCTCTCCTACGGTGGCTGACATTAGCAATCAATCATAGAAATTGTTCTTGATCTTGGATGGAGCTTTGCAAGTCTCACTCCCTACACAGTGGTTCTGGTAGCCACCGCATGCAGCACTAATAGTAAAAAACCAGAAACAGATATTGGGGCTCAAGCTGAAGATCAGAAAAGCAAAGTAACCAAGCCATCTGAGAGATCTTACCTCTACCAAGGCTCAGACAAAGGGGTGACCCTGCAATGCTCCCCATTAACCTCAGACTCCATACTCCATTGAGTTTCTGTCCCTTTCCCTTTATATTTCTCTCTCCACCCAGCCATATTGCTCTTGTCTCCACCTCCCTAGTGCTGGGATTAAAGGTGTGTGACCCTAAATGCCGGGATCACCTTTGTGTGAGCTCTGTTTCTCTTTTAGACAGATTCAATCTTGTGTAGCCCAGGGTTGGCTTGAACTCACAGAGATCCATCTGCCTCTGTCTCCCAAATCCTGGGATTAAAGGTATGTGCCAGCACTGCGTAGCCTCTAGTGGCTTAGTTTTGCCCTCTGATCTTCAGGCAAGCTTTATTTATTAAAACATAAATGAAATATCACTAAAACAGCATGCGATGCATGATCTTGATTGTCAACTTGACTGTCTTTAGAATCACCACGGAGTCACACCACTGGGTGAACCCGAGAGTGTGTTTCCAGAAGATTTAGCTGAGGAGGAGAGACTCTCTCTGGATGTGGGGCAGCAGAGTTACACAAGCTGGGGTCCAGAGCTGAATACAAAGGAGAATGAAAGATGAAAAGCTCAGCCAGCACTCTTCTTTCTGACTGTGGACACACTGTGACCTGCTGCCTCCCACTTCTCTCTGGCTGTGGACACACTGTGACCTGCTGCCTCCCACTTCTCTCTGGCTGTGGACACACAGTGACCTGCTGCCTCCCACTCCCACTTCTCTCTGGCTGTGGACACCCTGTGACCTGCTGCCTCCCACTTCCACTGCCCTAACTTCCCAGCCAGGATGCATGATAACCTCAAACCGTGAAACAAAACAAACCCTTCCTTCGTGAAGTGTTTTTGGCTGGTATTTTGTCACAGCAATAGAAAAAAGTGTTTGAATTATAGTTTGAATCTCAAATGTCCCCTGAAAGTCTCTGTGATGAAAGCTGGCTTCCCAGGACATAAGTGTCGAGGAGGGGATCTTTAGAAGGGGTTGGATCACGATGCCTCTGACCTCACCGGTGAATTGGTTCCTTGGTATATGTTATTGAGCAGGGTTGGAACTTTAGGGTGTGAAACCTGGTGGGAAAAAGTTTGTCATTTGCGGCATAGCCTTGAAAGGTATGTTTAAACCTGATCCCTTCTCTGCTTCCTTTCTCTTTGCATTCCAGATGCCACAAGGCCAGCATCTTTTCTCTACTTCATGTTCCTCACCGTGGTGCCCTGTACTACTATTACAAGGCCCAAAGCAATGGAGCCAACTGACCAGAGGCTGGCTTTTCTGAAACTGTGAGTCCAAATAACTCCCTTAATTTGAGGGTTTCCTCCTCAGAATTTTTTTTGTCACAGGAACAGACAACTAACTAACATTCTGAGATGACACACACACACACACACACACACACACACACACACACACACACACAGTGTATGGATTAGTCAGTTTGCTCCTAGGCGAGGATGAGAGGCCTTGAAGGCAGGTGGTGATTTCTGGTACTTAAATCAATGAGAGCTGGAGACAAACAACAGATCTGATATATCAGATTTGACTGAAGGGAGCCTTGGAGAAATTTGTACACAGCAAAGAAACAGACAGGAAATTTCTTCCAAAGGAAGGCATGGATCCTGCCCTGCTTTTGGAAGTAGGTTTTGGCCAGTTGCTCTGCTCACCCTATTTCCTTTATGAAATTTCTCACCTTACCAAGGAGATGTGCTGGAGTAGACTGAAACAAGATTGTAACTTCTCTCCTCCAGTTTCAAATTTTAGGAAAAAAAATCATATTCGTTTTCTTCTATGAACATACTTTGGAAATCTTAGTGTAAGCAGTCAGTGCAGGAAGAACACTGTATTTAGGGAAGGCTACAGGCTTCATGATCCTTCTCTTTGTCCTTCCTTCTTGACTTCCAGAGTCTTTTGGAGGGAATGTCGTTGCCTAAGAAAGACAGAGGCATCCCATCCCCAGGGATTCCAGGACAAGCCAGGCTGAGAGTGTCTCCATTCCCTACCCCATAAACACAACAGAGTCAGACTTGGGAGCCACAAACAAGAGCAAATCCCAGCTCTGCTCCTCACTTAGGTGGCTATGGATAGCTCCAGCCTCTCAGGGACTTATTTCCGGTCCTGAAGAAGAGTCCAATAATATCTGCCCCTCAGTAATTCAAAACTAGACACAGTCTGACCTTAGGAAGACAAACCGCATAGACCAACCTGTTACCATGAGAGTCATGTGCTGTGTGTTAGTTGTTTTTCTTATTTGCCATGATCAAATATCGGACAAGAAGCAACCTAAGGGTAGAAGTGTCTATGCTGGACCATGGCTTAGGAATGGATACAGTCTGTTGTGTCAGGAAAGGCATGATGGCAGACACATGAGGCAGCTGGCCATGAAGCTTCTATAGCCAGAGAGCAGATAACTGTCTGGAAGCAGGGCAGGGTTTTCACATCTCAAGACATGCCTCCCAATGACTCACTTCTGCTACCAAAGCTCCACTTTTGAAAGATCCCACAACCTTCCAAACAGTACCACTAGCTAGGGACCACATGGTTAAAAGCACAGAAGCCAGTGAAGGTTCTTTCACATCCAGACCATACCATGCACAATGCTGTCGCAGGCTTCACAGGACCAGCCTGGAACTTTCTCCTTTCCCACTAGCTGGAATATGAAACCCTACAGGGGTCACACCTCCTGAGAGAAAAGTTTCGTTCCTTACCTGATTAGGCCATTGGGGGACACATCTAGTCTGCATCTGAGTAGCTACTGGAGTTCCTCTTAGTCCATGTGGCTTTGGTAGGTGTGGCATGCTGGTTGGTTTATGAATGCCAACCTTCCACAACCTAGAGTCACTGGAGAAGAAAGCTTCAGTTGAGGGATTGTCTAGATCAGGATGGCCTGTAGATATGTGTGGAAGGACATGAATGTTAATGGATGTGGGAAGACCTAGCCCACTGTAGGTGGCACCATTCCTTAGGCAGTCAGGGAGGGAACTTTGAACTATGTAAGAGTGGTGAAGTCGAGATTGGCCCAAGTAAACAAGCAAGGGAGCATACATACATTCATCTCTCTCTGAGGGTATGATATGGCCAGCTCTTTGAAGTTCCTGCTTTGACTTCCCCATAATGGTGGACTGTAACCTAGATCTATAAGCCAAACAAACCCATTCCCCCAAAAGTTACTTTTCATTGGGGTATTTTTTATCAATGCAAAAAAAAAATGCAAGTAGAACAGGGCTGCCCCATGCCCCCAACTGACTTCCCATTGTTTAAATGACAGAACCCAATAGTGAGGAAGTCACACCACTGTATAGATAAAGAATCTTAGAGCTAGAAAGGTAAGTCCATTAGATACACAGCTAGCTGGTAGCAGAACTAGGCATGAAATCAGGGTGTTTGGAAGTCCAGACTTCATCCTGTATGCACCACCACCTCTGCCCTATAAAAGGAAAGTGCCTCTGACATGTTTTTGAAATCTGCACCAAGCAGCCTCTTTTTTGTGCATATATAAATAGGAGATAGAGACCCAAGCTTACAAATTTAATCATTCCTGTTCTCTCTTCCCTGAACCAACCTTTACCGAGTGCTTGGAAAGGGCCACTTAAATCTATAGCCTGAGAAAAATGTATCTTTGTGATTAATATGTGTTACAATGAGGAGTGACATGGCAATAAAATGGAAAGGTCCAGGGGCCTGTGGGGAAATCCACCTGGCTGCAGGCTGTGCTTCCATAATGAGGCTGCTGGTTCATGGTCATGGAGGTAATGTCTCCAGATGCAGCCAGAATGATTAACAAGGTAAGGATGTGTGCCCGGTGGGGAGGCAGGAGGACAGGAGCAAGAAATGGCTCAGAGTGGAATGCCCGGGCCTCTATTTTTTCCCTCACCTGAGCTAGAAGAATCTCAGTGTCTGAGTTTGGTGGCCAGGATGGCTTATTCTCTTTCCTCTGTCATGTGTACATGTATTTATATAACATGTGTTTTTGGCAAGGTGGGGTACAGTGGAGGGTGGTTACTACCCAAAGACAGAAGAAAAAAATTGTGTTGGATCAGTCTAGGGTGCTGAACATTGACCAAATGTTTATCAGTAGGGCTCTGTCTTAGTTAGGGTTTTACTGCTGTGATAAATACAACAACCAAAAGCAATCCGGGCATGAAAGGGCTTATTTCATCTTGCACTTCCAGGTAACAGTCTGTCACTGAGGGGAAACCAAGGGAGGGAAGTCAAGGCAGGAACCTGGAAGGAGGAATGAAGCAGAGACTGTGGGAGAATACTGCTTACTAGCATGTTTTCCATGGTTCACTCAGCTATCTTTAGTGTGCTACTCAGAGCTACCTACCTAGGAGTGGCACCAATCACAGTGGACTGCCCCCCCACCATCAAACATTAATTAAGAAAATGCCAGACAGACTTATATATAGGCCGATCTAATGGATGAGGTTCCTAAGTTGAGATTCCCTCTTCTCGGGTGGCTTTAATCAGGCTCATTTGCACGATAATTAAAATAATACTAGCCATAAGATCTGGGATGTGTGTGTGTGTGTGTGTGTGTGTGTGTGTGTGTGTATGAACATACTCAGACTGTAGCTCCATATAGTTGGAGGCCCCATGGTCACATAAAACTTGCTTTCCTTTAGTTAAACATAGTCCTTAGAGCTTCCTAGGAAAGATGCCTGTAAAAATAGCATTATGCTAGCTGTATTTCAGTTTTAAACTTCTATGGGGGGGGGGCATGAGTTGGGCAAGGTATCTATTTTCTCTTATTGAGACCAGGAACAGTCTCCTGGGAGAAGAGGAAGCCCAACTATCCTATCGTCCCTTCACGTTGAGGAGAGAGAGAGAGAGAGAGAGAGAGAGAGAGAGAGAGAGAGAGAGCGCAGAGTCAAGGAGACAACATATAGCTGTTGAAGGAGAAAGATGCTGGATCCCTACCAGTAGGCCATAGCCTCATGGCAATACAGAGATTAATAGAAATGGGTTAATTTAAGATGTAAGAAACTGAGCTATTGGCCAACTAGTGTTATAATTAGTATAGTTTCTATGTGATTATTTGGGTCTGGGCAGTGAGAAATTCAATCCTTGTCAATGGGTTATGAAACCTTTCAGGAGAATCATTTGGGAAGATAGTCTCAATGAGGAATTGTCTGGATCAGGTGGGCCTGTGGACATGCCTGTGAGGGATTTTCTTGACTGTGTTAATTAAGGTAGGAAGACCCAGCCTGTGGCAGAAGGTAACATTTTATGGCCTAGGCCCTGGACTGAAGAGAAAGAAGAGTGAGTGAAGCCCTCTACTCTAGACTCTGAGGTCCCTCAAACCCCTGCTGGTATGACCTCATCACCAACATGGAGGGACCTGGTGTTGTAATAAGAGTGGCGGGGCTGTGTCACCAGCACCCCAGCCGCCTGCTAGCTTATGCCCTGAAATAACAACATACAAACTGTATTCTTTTAAACACTGCTTGGCCCATTAGCTCTAGCCCTTACTAGCTAATTCTGATATCCCGATCAACCCATCTCTAATAATCTGTGTAGCATCAGTCTTACCAGGAAAGATTCAGCATGTCTGACCTGGAAGCTTGCTTCATGGCGTCTGCCCGGGAGAGGGGAGCATGGCCTCTGCTCCAGAGAGCAGAGCTGTAGAGTCTGAGCTCACTTCCTCTTCCTCCCAGCATTCTGTTCTGTTTACTCCTCCCACCTATGTTTTAACCTATGAGGCCAAGCAGTTTCTTTATTACTTAACCAATGACCTTCCTCCATCAACCTGGAATTGCATGCCAAATGAACCCATTATCTCTCAGGTTACATTTTTCTGGATATATTATCAAAGCAACAGGGAAGGAAATGGAGATAGACCTGTGCAGCACTGAAATGGGTTTCCACTGTGCCCAGCAAACTCATCTTACATTGGCCCTGCCCACATCCCGTTAAGTACCAGCAGGTCATCTTCCATTTGCCTGTGTTATCAGGCCACTTGGGAAGTCTAGCTGTTATTTGATATATTCACCATTTGGGATTTTGTTAATGCTGATTTTCCCTTTTTGGCAGTTCTGGGAGAGGGATTGGTAGAGTTGTTCTGCAGTTTAAAAACGTATCTTCTCAGTCTTCAAGAGGGAACGCACCTTTTCCTAATGAACTGGCCACTTTGATTCAGCTTTGATCATCTGGAGGTTTAAGGGGCGTGTGTCTTTCTCCTTTCAGGTAATCGGTCCTATTTATTCATCGGGCTTTTCCCTGTCTGGCTGAGACTGCTTTCATGAACATTCTTGCATCAGTGTCATGGCTTGACCTCTCCCTCGCC